AATAAAGGGAAACTGTTTTTCATTTTTTTAAATTAAAAAATTATATTTTATTGCTAGATTGGGTCCATGTGCCAAGTGTCATAATTTTATTTGTCATTTTTTTGAGTCAAAGCGCGTGAACTACACACAAAATATTTTTAAAAAAAGTTTTCGTTTTATGTTCAATAGATACATATTCTTTAATATTAAAGTGTCTAATAGGTAATAGTCTTAGTTGAGGTGTCTAAGTGAATTATGCGAACAACTTTAAGGGGCCGCATATGACTTAGGCCTAAAAATTACATAAATTTTATAGTGCTGAGAGCTAATTATAGAACATCCCTATTGATTCTCAAATTATTGAAATTTCTTTGAATTATTATAGGACATCAGATACATCGGAAACAGTGCATACATAAGTCATTTATTGTGAATGATAGATTACTTAATGGGAGGGATGTATCTGAGAGGGGAGGGATATACCCGAGAGGAGATAAAGATATATTTGATAGATTATTGTTTTTTTTTAAAATGGTAAAAAAAGTTTAGAAATTATAATAAAATAAAAGGGTAAATCACATAAATATGCAAAATTAAAAAATATTTACCATTTATGTCAATATAGTCTTTTCAACTAAACATAACAACTTTTTAGAATTAAAATTTTTTACTGCATATCTACCTTCGCCTCTTTCTCTGCCTCTTTTTTCTCTTCCTGTTTTTTTTTCTTCTTCGTTGTCTCTTCCTGTATCATCCTTTTTCTTTCTCTTTTTTTTTTATTCTTCTTCTTTTCTATTTCTTTTTTTAAAAAAAATCATTTAAATAATTGTTTTAAATCAGTTTTTGTCTATATTTCATTAGTTATATCCAAAAACGTGACGAGAAGAAATAGAAAAATAAAAAAATATACAATATCATGTTCTCAAATAGAAATTTCAAATCTTTAAAAGTATAGAAACAAGATTTCAATATTAATGGTCATTATAAAGATTCAAATTTTGAATTAATTACTGGAATTTTATGAATTTGTGATTAGTTTGGATAGATTATTTTTACAAGTAATTGAAAATGTCGTTTGGAGTTAATAGCCTAATTTTAAGAGGGTTTGGTTTAGTTTATAATTGATTTCAGGAGAAATATTAGATTTAAATTTGAAAAAGGTGAAGTTTATGGAACGGTATCGCGATTGTATTAAAGTTGTATTACATATGTTTCATAATTGCACTAAAATTGTATTAAATTCACGAACAATACATTTATAATACATAATACAAACTTCACTCTTTTTTTCGTGATATCAACCAAAATAATTTAAGTAACACACTTGTAATACATTTATAACATCTGCACAATACATTTGTAATACATATTGCAAACACCACTCATGTTCTTGGTGATAAAAACTAAAATAATTTATAAGACACATATGATACATGTTTTATTTATGAATAGTACAAGTTTAATTCTTTCTATAGATTATTGTCTTGTCTTTCGTTAGTTATGTTTTTCATTTATTACAAATTTTCTCTTCTAATTCAACTTTAAAATGTGCGTAATACATTTTTTGTTAAAGTTTAATTCATTTGACAGTTTATTATGTTTCTTCATTTGTTACTATTAGATTGCTTATCTAATTAGTTATTGATACAAGTTTTATTTATTTTACGAATCATTGACTGCTCTTTCGTTTACGATTAGTTTGGACAGTCAGTTCCTACAAATAGTTAAAAATATCGTTTGGAGTTTATATCTCAATTTTAAGAGGGTTTGGTTAACTTTAGAATTGATTTTAGGAAAATTATTAGATTGAAGCTCGAAAAGGATGAAGTTTACGGAATTATATCACATTTGTGTTAAAGTTGTATTAGATATGTTTCATAATTGTATTAAAATTGTATTAAAATCATGAACAATACATCCTAATTTACAGTACATATTGCAAACTTCACTCCCTTTTTAATGATATCAGCATGATTTAGGTAACACACTTATAATACATGCACAATTCATTTTAATACATATTGCAAACATCACTCACATTCTTAGTGATACAATTAAAAAGTAATTATAAGACACATATAATACATGTTTTATTCATGAATAATACATTTATAATATGTATTGCACGCTTCACTTTTTTTAGGGGTACCAACAAGAATAATTTATGTAACACACTAATAATACATTTCTAAGACATGCACAATAGATTTTTAATATATATTGCAACCATCACTCATTTTCTAAGTGATAAAAGCAAAAATAATTTATAAGATACATATGTATAAGTTTTATTCATGAATAATTAATATGAGTTATTTCTGTTTATAGATCGTTCACTTGTCTTTTGTTAGTTATGTTTTTCGTTCATTCTTAATTCTCTCTTCTAATTCAACTTTAATATTGTGTAATACAATTTTAAGGCAATAGAATTTATTTTGCAATTTTTTGATTTATTTGTTATTATTGAATTACTTGTTTAATTCATCATTAATACAAGTTTAATTTACACTATAGATCATTGTTTGTAATATTTTTAATTCAACTTTGATATGTGCATAATATATTGTTAGTTCAAGTTTAATTCATTTTGCAATTTGATATGTCTCTTTATTTGTTGGGATTGAATAATTTATTTAATTAATTAATTATTGATACAATTTTTATTCATTCTACGAGAAACAAAAGGAAAAAAGCAAGAAAGAGAGAGCGCAGCAACATAGAGAAAGCAAAAAAAAAAGAGAGAGAAAGATATACAAAAAGAAAGTAGCAAGAGAAAGCGAGAAGAATTAAAAAGCTGAGAGAAAAAAAAAGAGGCGAGAGAAGAAAAATCTAACAAATATTTAGTTATCTTTTATATTGTTATAGATGGTAATATTTAATAAAGAATATATCTAAAACAAGAAATTATTTTTTAAAAGGGATCCACTTAAGTAATAAATTCAAAATAAAATGTGTATTTTAGTCATTTTTTTCACATATTAATGGCTCAATCTTCCTGGACAAAGCCCAGATGCCCAGTTTTAGGATTAAATGTCGTAGAGATGTCATTTTCTGACAATCCTTTTTGATAATGTAATATTTTATTATTTCTCGTAAGAGTTGTAGTATTTATGTGTTTAATTATAGGATATGGGGTTAACTTTTTTAAGGGTTTGTAAGTTTTCTCTTTAACTTGGGGTTTTCATTTCATAATAATTTTTGAAAGTATGTGCTGAAATTCCTTAAATTAATTATGTTCTTTATGTGTTTGGGTTTATTTTTAAGTGTTTTAGAATATTTTAAGTTTATTTTTTAAATTACGACTTTTATTTGATATTTGTGTTGTGTTATGTTGCTATTTTTATGTTGGAATATATGGATGATTTTTTATGTTTTCGAGTCTCAATAAATTTATAATTTAGAATTTAAGGGTGAAATTTTATATATGTGATCTAGAACTTAGGAACGAACTCATTGATGATATTAATTTTTTTATTTTTTGTTTCATTTCTTGATTCCTTATTCGAAAATTAATGTAATTATGAATGTACACGACAATTCCAAATAATAATCCAATAGTCTGGTCATGAATCACTCTCAAAAAATTATATTTTTGAGGATGCATTAAACTGTAAATTAAATGCATTAGTATAGTTGTGTTGTTTTGTTAAAATTTCTAGATCAAAATCTTAATAGGATCGAATATTTCTTGTCCTAAGATCTAAAAGGAGGTTAGGCTTTATGTCCCCTTCCATTTGGCTGTTAATATCATTAAATCTGGAAAAAAATAGAAAAAAAAGACCTAACTTTAGGGTAAGAGGTAAGTCAGAGTTAAATATCAAATTTCAATAGAAACAAAAACAGCCCTTACTAAATGGATTAAGAAAAATTAATTTTTTTAATGGTTCTAGAGATTAAAGTAAATCAACAAGTGATTTGAATGTGTAAAAAAATCTCGTGAAAGGATTAATATTTTGTAACTGATGGAATAATGGCAAGGCACAACAGTGAGGGGGTGATGTTCAATGTCAGTTATAAATGATGTATTTTGTAAAGTTTTGATTGATGTAACAAATGAAGGTGACATTAAACTAGCAAAAACTTATGTTATAGGTAGTTGATGATGATGATAGAAAAATGTAAGTTTATCATTTTTTTGTTGCATTTATAATATAAATACTGAGTAGTTGGTATATGATTCTAATTTAGATTTAGCTTCCTTTTATGAAAATGTGTATTTTCCATCAATATATTTATTTTCTTGTATTAATATACATATCTTAGTTTAGATCTCAGATCCTCCTTTCTTTTACTTAATAAGCATATATACCCAACGAGATTCCAACAATTTTTTAGGTACTTCGCTCTAATGCAACTAGTTTTCACTACTATTAGCATCCTTATTACTATCCTCAATCCCCGTTGTCCTTAATTTCTCCTCCATATCCTGAGAGTCATTCCACTTAACCCTTGATATGTTAGATACGTTCCTTTTCTTTCTCTACCTCTTAATCTCTAAATTCAGTATCAAGAATTTAAATATTTTACTTGAAATATTAAGGAATATTTTAAATTAGTTAACCCTAAACTCTAAAATATAAATAAAATAATTTTAACACATTATTTTTCAAATTTAGCAAGCAAACCTAATTCAAAAATCCTTAAACTCGTTAAATCCTACACCATTAACACAAAATCATTGTGGCCAGTTTATGAGAATTTGTTAAAAAGATATATATTTATTATTTTTGTCTTTATTGAGTAAATTTTTGAGAATTTTAAAATAAGTGAGTTGTTCGAAGCTTAAGAGAATTGTTGGGACATTTTATATATATCCTTCATTTAATGAGGTTCTTAAACACTTTACATTTTATAGGAGAATAATTTGAAAATGCTCTAAAGAAAAATTGTTGAAAGTAGCATTTCAATTAGTTATGTACTAAAATATTTTTCTTAAAAAATTATTATAACAATTCACTTAACATGAATAAAGGGAGTATTAAGTTGAAAAAGCTTCATAATTACTCAAACATTCTTACCTTATTAACTAATTATTATCCCAATAGTTTGAAATAATTACATATTGTCTCACTAATAGTTTCATATCAGATTTCAAATTACATATACTAGATATATGTATTTTTTTCAATCAGATAAAATACAGATAGGAAAAGAGGCGGGCGAAAGAGTTAGAGACATGGGAATACACTTAGATATTTACAACTAATTTTGGAACCTCATATATCCGAAATACATGTATATTGGGACCAAACTTTTACACGAGTGACAACTTTTTTTTAAAAAAAAACTCATAAAATGGCACATAATTATATTCTTAACTACTGAGATTTATGTTGTTTATGTTATTCAGGTTAGTAATGCAAAAAAAGTAAAAATAATCAGGTAATATAACATTAAATAATTTTTTTCCAATAAAAAAAAGTATAAAACTGATAACATTTAATTAAACTTTTAATCTTTTAGAAGTGGTGAAAAAAGGGTTATAAAAATAAATTTACAACTAAAAAGAAAAGAAAAAAAAGGAAAAAATAAAAAAAATGGGTCATGGTATCATACAAGAGTCTTTCACATGTTTTCTTATCCTAGTGGGATACTTTTTCATTTCACTTAATCCACGGAAATGGAATACCCTTCACATTTTTTTTGCATTGCACTCTGCACTCTTCTTCTTTATATTCTGCCAAATGGTCTAATGGTTTCTCCGCCCTAAAACTTTTATGAAGTTTCTCTATATCCATTTTATAATTCTTTTAGTTTGAAATTTAGTATACTGATATCTCATTTTATAGATTTTGTTAACATGGAAAAAACTAGAAAAAAATTGAGGAATGTGAAGTTGAATTTAGGGCGTTCATTGAATGGTAATTTCGGTGTTAACTCTAAAAAATTGAAGATATTGAACTGTTCATCGTCAATAACTAATGAAAATTCTTCTTTGTTGTTTTCACATGGATTACAAGGAAGTGTTGCTTCGAGTTTGACTGAGCTTGAAACCCAACAACCACCTAATCGATGTATGAAAAATTTCTTCCTTTTTATTCTTTCGTTGAAACACTCTTTATTTACTCAACTAAAAAGAATTGTGTAAGTTCACGAAAAATTCTATCGATTAGCTTTTTCAAGTTTCTCAAAACTACTAATGAGAAATAATGAATGTTTTCAGGGAAAAGTGCTAAAGAAGTTGGAGAGAAGCTGAGAAAATTCTTGTACAAGATGCCTTTTGTTTTCTATGACGGACCAAATGGAAAGAAGACAAAAGCATACTTGTTATACTCGTTTACGAAGAGAGAAGATTTGAAGATAGTTTGTGCTTGTCATGCTGATTTTCTGACTCCAGCTCAATTTGTCAAACATGGTGGTGGAGTTGACGTTGAAAACCCTTTAAACCATATAGAAATAATTCTTGACTACTGAAAAATTGACTAGCTGCTTTAATATGGTTGTTGTGTGATCTTCCTTTTATTTTGTTGTACTGGAAAAGTTAAAAATGGCTACTTCCCAAAAAATCATTAGCTTTGATATCGTTGTTATTTGATATTTCATTGTATTGTAGAAACTAAGTCCCTTCCATCAGAGATATATTAAGGTTATGTTTTAGTCACTCTGTTTTTTTTGTTTTTTTTTGGGCTATGTGGTGCTTATTTGAGCTTTAATTAGAAGCAACTAACAACTTTTAAAGGGTTTCTAAGTTAATTTTCAACTTGAGATTTTCATTTTCTTGCTACATTTAGAAAATAGGAATTAAAACACTTGATATTAGTTGTTTTCTTTATGTGCTAGGATTTGGTAACTCTTCTGTTTTAAAGTTATTCTAAGTTTATATTTTGAGTTAGAACGTCTATATCTTGTAACGAGGGGATGGAAAGCATGTGCAAGTCGGACCTTATGGAAAATGGGTTATTAAAAAAATAAATATAATTTAATTTATTTATATAATTGATTTAAATAGAATATGTTATAATTCTGTAATTTTGAGCTCATGCCAACGGATTGATGAGTGCTCTATCTTTCATAGAGGATTTAAATTTTATTTGTAGCTTTTTCTGTTATTCTCTACGTGTTTTTTAATGTAGTAAAAGAGTTTTAAAAAAAATATGAACTTATTATCATAAGTTAATGGTCTAAAATATTTTTAGGTATTCCTGATTTTCAGTATATATATTGTTCAGGCCATTGGATTACCGTCGCCACTGAATCGATATAGTTCCATAACTACCATTAGAGTACGTCAATGAAAGCACCAATAATAAGACCAACTCAATGCAAGGAAATTCTTCTATCACAAATTCAAATCAAGAATTTCACTATGCAATCTCTAAGTACACGATCTCATTGCCAAGTCTGAATTCGAAGTATAGCTTGATTCACTACTTCTTATGAAAATTAGGTTGAATCACTAAAAAAATGCAACACGAATAAGCTAAATTTTGAATTTTCTTTATGTGTTTAGGGTTTATTGTTAACTGCTTTAGAATTTTGTAAGTCATGACGTCCATTTCTTGTTAATCGGACAATATAGTTATTAGTTAGGTTATATTATGTTGCTATTTTTGATGTACGAATATATGGATGAGTTTTTGAGTCCCAATGTAATTTAGGGTTTACGGGTAAAATTTACATGTGCGGTTTAGACTTAAGGTATGAATTGATTGGCATATTTGATCCTCTTTTTTAAATGTAATTCATAATTTCTTGATCCCTTATTCAAACACTAAATGTAATTATGAATGTGTATGACAATTTCAAAGTGCAAACCCAACAATTATGTCATGAACTACTCTCTAATAATTTTGTTTCTGAGCATCCTAAATTTTTTTATGATGAAGACTTACCCTTAAGGTCAAGAGGTATGTCAAATTAGGATAATTCAAATTCAGGTTGTTCAAAATTAATATCGATATCCAAATCAATAATTTGGTTATTGGGTCAATAATTTGGGTTGCAGTTTACTATAAACTCTTATTGGCTTATCGGTTGGATCCCAGTTTTACAATATTTCTAATCGGATGCCCCGATAATCCGATAAGAAGTTTAAATAAATGCAGTTATATCACTCAAGGTCTTAGGTACTTTTAGCTTTTAGGGTTTACCCTCCAGTTTTCTGAATTTTTACAATGACTTCATTTATATTTGACACTCAAATTTCAAAATAATATTCTAAAGTTGCGACATCACTCATTGTTTCACTGTCGCTGCTCCTAAGTCGGTGAGTTATATTGAAGACCATTCTCTAAATATCTAAATTGAGGTTCAAATGATTGATTCTCTTACTACTACAATCTGCAATTAGAAAGTTATTATTAGTAATGGTCTCATGATCATTAATGGTTCTCATTAGTAGTGTTGTAATGTTTCTCTGTATTTCATATAAAAAATTAGCTTGGTTGTTATGAGGAATCATTTTGAGTTTTGCCAGTTTGGGCAATATTGTTATCTCTATTAAAGTTAATATGGAGTTTTATTAAGTGTTTTATGTAGTAATGGAATAACCGGAAAATATTCACTAGTGACTCTTTGTAACATTTCACAATTTGAAATAGCTAGGAATAGGCTTAAGAAACAAAAATATTCATTTTTGGAAAGAAAGGGATAAATATGGAAAATTGTCTAAGTTAAGAAAGTAAGTATTGGTCATTTTCAAACAACCATAATTTCTACCTCAGGATGAATTAGAGGTAGTGCTTGATATGGTTGGAAAGATCTTGCATTGCCGTTGAGTTTTAACATTCTCGATATCTTATGTGGGAGATATGCCTATTGGAAGTTGGGTTGTTGAAGTAAGGAAAACCAAATCTGGATTAAAGGAAGGGCAAACTAGTCTGTTCACTAATTAATTTCCTCTTTTCTTTTTAGGGGTTTGTTGGGGTAACAACTAAGTTGTTCAGTTTGGAAGATTAGACTTTACGCTTAGGGCTTGGAGAAGAAATAAAGAGAGAGAAGTCAAGGAACAAATTTGATTATCACGGACAAACAATTTCGTCATTAATAAATCATATTTCGTCATTAAAAGTCTTGTGTGACGAAAAATAATTCGTCACTCATTCGTCACTAAATATGTGTCTCTAAAAGTATACAAAGATGATATAGTGTTTCTTCGCTAAAAGTATTACAGTAACTACAAAAAGAAAAATCGTTAATGCTTAAACATTTGTGACAAATTTATTTATTGTAAAAAGTATATTTTTGTAGTTAGTATTATGCTTTGTCACTAAAAAGGTTATTACTACCGATTAAATAATATATTCACTGATTG